TGCTGTTGCTGTTCCTGCTTCTGCTGCTGCTGTTGTTGCAGTTGGGGCTGTTATTTCTGCTGCGGTTGTTGTTACTGCTGCTGCTGCGCTTGCTGCTGCTGCTGCTGCTGCTGCTGCTGCTGCTGCTGCTGCTGCTGGTTGAGACCCGCCTGCAGCACTCGATTTCATTGTGGAGATACTGCTGCTGCTGTTTTTGCTGTTTCTGCTGCTGCTGCTGCTGCTGTTGCTGCTGCAGAAGTGGTTGCTGCTGCTGCTGCTGTGGGTGGCGGATGTGAGCCTGGCGGCCGTAAGAGGCAGCAAATACTCCCGCATGCACCTCGTAAGCTGCTGCTGCTGCTGCTGCTGCTGCTGCTTCTGCTGCTGCTGCTGCTGGTGCTGCTGTTGTTGTTGTTGTTGTTGTTGTTTCTGCTGCTCTTGCTGCAGCAGCTGCTGCTGTTGCTGTTGCTGTTGTTGTTGTTGTTGTTGTTGCTGCTGCTCTTGCTGCAGCAGCTGCTGCTGTTGCTGTTGCTGCTGCTGCTGTTGCTTCTGCAGGTGCTGCTGCGGCTGTTGCTGCTGCTGCTGCTGCTGTGCCTGCTGCTGTTTCTGTTGCTGCTGCTGCTGCTGTTGCTGCTGCCGCTGTTGTATGCAGCAACAGCAGCAACAGCAGCAACAGCAGCAGTATCTCGATGTATCTACCAATGGCTAACGCATTCATTCCTTCTTCTCCTGTTTCTGCTGCTGCTGTTCCTTCTGCTGCTGCTGTTGCTGCTGCTGCTGCTTCTCTCCCTGCTGCCGCTGCTCTCCCTGCTGCTGCTGCTGCTGCTGTTGCTGCTGCTGGTGCTGCATGCATGCAGGTGCCTTACTGCGGTTGGGCGTATTGGTTGTTGTATCTGTTTGGGGCTTTGCTGCTGCTGCTAGCTGCTGCAGCACAAGGCGTAATGTTAGTGAGGAGAGACAGGAGCTGCCTATACACCCCAGGGTGTATAGGCAGCTCCAGCAGACAAAAAGGAGATATATTATTCACACCCCAGGCAGCTCTGCGCTTCTTTATTCAGAGCGTTGCTGCTGGACTCGTCGGTATGTTTGCTGCTGCTGCTGCTGCTGCTGCTGCTGCTGCTGCTGCTGTTGCTGAGCGTTGCTGCTGTACTCGTCGGTAGGTTTGCTGCTGCTGCTGCTGCTGCTGCTGCTGCTGCTGGTGCTGGTGGTGGTGCTGCTGCTGGTGCTGGTGGTGCTGCGGCTGAGCGTTGCTGCTGGACTCGTCGGTGGGTTTGCTGCTGCTGCTGTTGCTGCTTCTGCTGCTGCTGCTGTTTTTGGCGCTGCTGCTGCAGGTGGCGTAGTGGGTATTGGTGGTTCTATGGTGATGGGCCCGCTGATGCTTTCTCGGGGGATGCTGCCTGCTGTTGTTACTGCTGTGAATACTGCTGCTGTCTTCTGCAGCAGCAGCAGCGCAGCAGCAAAAAGTTTAATTGGGGGGTTTGTACCCTGGGGCTATTGTCTCCTTTTCTTCTTTCTATGCTTCTCCTCCGCTCTTATAGGCAAATTCTTCGTTGATAAAGTTGTAAGTTTTTATTTTATTTTATTTTATTTTATTTTATTTTGTTTTTTTTATTTGTCTTTGTTTTTTTTTGGTTTTTTTTTTTGTTTTTTTTTTTTCTTCTGTCTCCTTTTCTTCTTTCTATGCTTCTCCTCCGCTCTTATAGGCAAATTTTTCGTCGATAAAGTTGTAAGTTTATCTTTTTGTTTTTTTTTTTTATTTGTTTTTTATTTGTTTTTTGGTTTTTGTTTTTTTTTTGGTTTTTTTTTTTTTTTT